TGACTTGATCGAGCTTTATGCATTCACAACTCAGCGACAAGATCAAGGCATAAGATTTGGGATGGCAAACAGAGCAATTGTAAAGACGATGGAGACCTTGGTGAAGCATCAAGCCAAGAGTGATTTTCAGATTGCTCTTCATTTGGGCATCGAAAAACTCTCCTGCACTCCACCTGATGAAGACTTCCCAGGCCTGCAAGAGAAGAGATATGCTTCTGTCTTGACTCAACCCGAGCTTGGACTTGTCTTCAAGAATGAGTTCGGGATAAAGAAAATTTTCAGACTAACTGAAGCATTCAAGTATTCAACCTCAACAATTGAATGGTTTTAGGGAGTTATCAGAGATGGACTGGGTAGAACTCATGTGCCAAGGGAAGACGGAAACAACTTATTCATGAGATATCTACAGCCATCAGTTATCAAAGACTGCTACTGCGCTTCTGAGAAATATCTCAAGGAAGATCATGAATAGAGTTTTAAATTTTTTTGCCTTAAATTTTAATTTCTTTGCTTCCAGTATTGTAAGAAATCATCATCCAATGAAAATTTGGCAATTGATGCTTTTCTTTAGATTAGTCTTTGTTCTTCAATATTGTTCATAGATTACTTCATGTTTGTTCTTTCATTACTTAGGGGGAGATTGTTAGACCCCATAATTCATAAATGTAAAAGTAATGAAGAACAATAAGTGATGAAGAACCATAAGACCGATGAAGAAGTTAAGGCAGAATTGACTAAGTTTGGAGAACAACCAGAGGGTCGATGAATCGACCAGAGATGCGATGGAAAGAGCATCTTCATCACCCCTCTGGTCAACAACACTTAGAGTTTTCTTTAGCAGTTCAGCCAGAGGCATGCGATGAAGATATGAAGATAAGGTTGAATTAACATCCCATAGAAGATAGCTGCAGATAACAAATCGACAGCTGGATTTTAAGTTTATCTTGATTTATAGTTTATCCATACTTTAGATAAACATTATCTTTCCTAGAAGATTGGCTAGATAGTTTTACTAGATAGTTATCTTCTTATCGCTAGTATAAATAGGTAGCTAGGCCTATTGTAAAAATAGACTTTAAGTGAGTTTTTATGCATCTTTAATGCTCAAGTATATGCTTTGAATATACACATTCTTCGTTCTTGAGTATTCTTCATTTTATTCATCCACACTACTTATTTAGGTTATTCATAATCTATTTATTAGTGTTATTGAGAGATCTGGGATCTACAACTTTGATTAGACGTCCTTTCAGTCTTGTAATATTATTAACCTTTATGTATTAGGTCTACCAGTACTAATTGTAACACTTGTAATATTTTCTCATGAAAAATATTCAATAACATTGTCAGTTCACTAAAAAAGATCCCTAAAAAGTGTAAATGGGACAAGTATTTAAGAGTTCTATTTATGTCTTTCATTCATAGACACTTTTCTAGTCAGTGAACATGCTTTCAGTTTCAGTTATCAATATTGTGTGAATTTTATTCTGTCCTTGTAATCCTTTACAACTTAAGTAATTTTTTATAATAAACTGTACCACTAAAAGAGATCCCAAAACAGTTAAAAGGGACAAGTATCTTACTGGTACCTTTTCCTTACTGATGTAACTTAAACAACTTTTTTTATGTTGTTTTGTCATCATCAAATGTTGATCATCTCTCAATGATTTGATGATGATCCATTTTATCTATCGAAATGTATTATCTCTGTATTAAGTTTCAACGATCATCATTGAGTCTGTTCAGTGATCGCTGAACATGTATTGTAATTCGTTCAGAGACCAATATCTTTCAAGAAGACAAAATTCACACCACAAATCTTTCAGTGATGTCGAAGACAAAAGCTGAAGATTAGAGACTAGAAAGTTCATGACCTGAAGCGGTTTTTTAGTGATAACAAGCTCGTGTACATAAATGTGAAGTCTGCACAAGATTCATTGAACACTGAAGAGACCTTCAACGTCATTCCAGTGTTCAGCAATCAAATGAATCTTGTCGAGCAAGATAGTTTTTGTATTTTCCTTCTGCACACAAAGCACAAACCCATAATTTTCTAAGTATAGTACAGTACGGAGTCACTCCTTTTACTCCAAACGTACTTACCTACTTTATGAAATAGGATTGCTCATACACAGTTAAAAGGACTGTATACTGTAACAAAGAACAAGTTTTCCTCTAAAATCTTGTCACGTGCTATGTAACTTCTAAGGGTATAAATAGCTGAGTAGTTCTCCTCTCAGTTATCTTCTTTCTCACTCAAAACATACCCAAGAAGTTACTTCTCTCTCTACTTCTTATCTTATTTATTGTAGTAAGTCTCTTTTATTGCTATCTGTAATTGTTGTGTGTATCTTAGATTGTTTAGATAGGTTTTGTATTTTATCTCTTCCCCAAACAATCTGTAAAATTTGTATTGATCTTCTTTATCAATATATAATTTTTAAAAGTGAAAGTTACTGTCTTTGTGTTCATCCCCCCTTCTACAAACTGTTACCTATAAACTCTTGTAGATCCGGCTGGGACCAACAAAATGCCTTCAAAGGTATTAAATCATCTCACACCTTTTGAACTCTTATTCAAAACCAAGCCACAATATCATTTACGATATTTTGGATGTTTGTGTTTTGTATCCACAAATCCTATACACAGACATAAAATGCAGTCTAAAGCATATCCACATGTTTTTTAGGATATCCTTTTGATAAGAAAGCATATGAAGTCATGCACCGTGTAACTAAGCAAATTTCATGCTCACGAAATATTTTGAGTCCTGTGAAACTGAGTTTGTTGTTATAAAACCATTGCCATCATCTGATACATCTGACTTGCCTTTGCCTATAACAAATATCATCTACTCACCAAATTTTTCTTAACACAAAGGTTCTAGATCCACTAATCCTGATGTTGTTGAACCTATGAATATTGTTCCTAACCATTATATTCCCATGTAACCTCTTGTACCTGTACTTCGGCACCTCAATCATAAAATCATCTGGATTATGTTGAGCCAACTCCTATTCCTATGTTACGCAGATTTTCAATAGTTTCTAAAAACTCTTTGTTATTTTGATGAATTCTTTTGTAATCATTCTTCTTTAGATGTTGCCACATCTTATATTGAAATATGTCCTCATATTACGATTAATCTTTGTATTGCATTTCAGAATCCAATTCCAATTGCTTTAAATAATTATAGTCAATCTTTTGCAGTAAATATTATATCTGTTATGAATCCTAAATCACATGTCAAAGTTGTTATTAATCCTTTTTGGCAAGACGCTATGGCAATAAAATTTGCAACTTAAGAAGCAAAGGGCACCTGGAGTTAATACTTTTGCCTGAAAGAAACGTGCTATAAGATGCAAATGGTTTATAAATCCAAATTTACTCAAGATAAGACAATTGGGAAACATAAAGCATGGTTTGTGTCATAAGGCTTCACTCAAAAATCAAATGAAGATTATTATGAAACCTTCTCCTTGGTTGTCAAGTTAACCACAATCAGATGCATAGTAGAACTTGTTGTCAAAAAAGCATTGGCCCATTAATCAATTAGATATCAACAATGTATTTCTACATGGAGATTTGCATGAATAAGTTTACATGAACAGGCCTAAAGGTACGGTTTGTGCAAACATTAACTATGTTTGCAAGCTTAAGTCCTTATATGCTTTAAAGTAGGCTTCAAGACGATGGTGATCAAAGTTTTCTGAAGCATTGAGAGAAAAAAGGTTTTCATCATTCTCAAAATGATTATTCGTTGTTTCTCAAAAATAGAAAATAATCCTTTACCATAATGGTTATTTATATTGAAGATGTCATAGTCACTAGCGACAACACATTTGAAATAGAATAGTTAAAGAAGTTCTTGCACGTAACTTTTCAAATTAAAGTTTTGGGCCATCTTAATTACTTTTTGGGTTTAGAATTCCTACAAAGTAATCAAGGGATTTGTCTAACTCAAAAGGAATATCATACTGATTTGCTGGATGAGTATGGCATTACGACTTCTGAAAATGTCAACACTGTGTTACTGTGTAACTTGAAGCTTATGTCAAGCATGCCTAATCCTTTAGCAGATCCTAGCTGATATAAACAGGTAGCGGAGAAACTCAACTTTTTGGTACACACTCGGCCTGATTTGGTATTTAGTGTTCAGTTCCTTAGTCAATTTAACCAAAATCTTTCTAAATCTCATTGGAATGTTCCTCTACATGTTCTGGAATATTTGAAGGCATTTCATTCTTTTGGATTGTTTTTCAATAACAATCCTGATTTTTTACTTTCTTCTTATTGTGATTCGGAGTGGCCATCTGGTCCATATTCCATGAGATCAGTTAGTATGGACAACTTTAGGAGGAAGTTTATGTTGAACAACCTCTAGGGTTTCTTGACCCTAAGTATCCAAATCATGTCTATAGATTGGATAAAGCTCTTTATGGGTTAAAACAGGTCC